AAGGGCGACCATATTGCCCTAAGCCCTTCAGCCGACCCCAGGGGCGCCTTTTCGTCTTCGACCAGCGCGATTCCCTGGCTGTTGGGGCAGAAGGTTCGTGGGTCTTAGGTTGGGTGTGGGGTTTAGGGTGATAGTCCTCTTTAAGTAGATAGAACATGGGGTATATGGGGATCTGATTATACTATGCCCAAAGCCATATTCTATCTACTTAAGGGGGACTAGAATCGCTTCAGGCTCAAGAATTGCTTACTCGGTTGCACTTTGGGACAATTACTAAATCTCCCCTAATGTGGTACAAGGGACCCTATTTACAAATAGTTTTGGGGGCCTTAAAGGTACAACCCAGCTTAGGTTTTAGGGTGCGAGGGGTTGGGATATAACAAGCCTAGGGTGCATAGTTTTGGGTTAGCGGTCAGGGTCTAGTTCGGCTATGAGCTGAATGTTTAGGGATATGGGTTTAGGGCTTAGGGTTTGGGAGAGAGAGGGTGCGGGGTTTAGGGGTGGCATAGGCATTCCCAGGAAAGCACAATCTTCCCTGATTGAACGTGCAATTTCCTTAAAGCGGGTGTAGGGTTTAGGGTTTAGTGTTTAGGGACGTAGCTTCTACTTAAGGGGGACTATAAACTTTGATGCTGACGCGAGCGCAACTAAGATCCTGCAACCCTAACCTCGTAATCTTACTGCAGCGTTGCAGAATTGCAGACGCAAGTTAGCATGCATTGGAGTGCTGCCGGACTTTCCACAGCAGGATCAAACCTGCAGGCTGTGTCTTAGCTCATCGCGGGCTAATGGTCCTTAGTAGGGAGTATGGGAATTGAATCCCCATAAACTCCCTATAGATTCCCGGCTAAGAACCATGAAGTGATTGGAGATTTGAACGCGAACTCCAAAACCAGACAGGAGCTTCGCAAGATCTTACGTGTCCGCTCTGCAGAAGTGGTGCTGTTGAGGCCAGTTCCGGGTTTTGACATGAGCCCTGGTCTAAACTCCTTAAAGGGTGTTATAGGGGCTTATATAGGCGACTACTATAGGGGTCATTAAGGGGCATACTAGGAGTTTAGACAATGGCTTGCATGAAGCAGTGTTGCCCTCCGCAAGAACAGTTTCTGAACTAAAAGGGGGTCTCTCAAGGTACGCATGCCCAAGAGGCCAACCACACCAGAATGAGGCTCTAGGGTTTAGGGTTCAAGGAGTATGTACCTAGACCTTCCTTCTACCCTCTATATACCCTAAATAGGGACCATATACCCATATTTAAAGGGTACAAGGAGGGTCCTGGTAAGAGGAGGGGTTGTGGACTGTCATGGTGCGGAGGGGAGACGAGGAGAGCCATGGAACTGACACATTTGGTTATAGTCCCCCTTAAGTAGATAGAATATGGCTTTGGGTATATTATAATAAGATCCCCATGTTCTATCTACACAAGGGGGACTATACGTTGCGCATCAGGAGTTCTGGAACTGCTCCGTCCTTGACTGCAACAAGCGGATGGTTGCCTGCCACGGCCTAAGCTCCATACGTTAAGTCTCCAACGTTCTTGGTTCTCCACGGTACTTGTAACCTGTCAACTTTTGTATAGCAAAAAAGTCCAAACCATTGCCCAAAAGATGGTCCTAGCATGGGGCACCACAGACAGACCTCAACATGATATGGGTTATTATTTATGGCCCTGCATGACTCGACTTCTAAGCCGAGCATTGATTGCTTCAGCTCTAGCACATATACCCATTATGAGGGCTGCAGCATCCTGACCACGACACGTGTTGAAGGCGGCGTAGGGTGCAGGGTTTAGGGTTTGGGGTAGGGAAAGAGCCTTTCGGCGGGGCAAATTCGAATTGCATTCGGCAGATGTCGTGGCCGGGCTACACATGGAATGAAGGGTTCAGCATGCTTGCTTTACTCTGGGGCAATGTGGCCAGAGGGTTACGTTTCGCAACCTACCCAAGTGATTGAACATACGATCTCCCCTCGGGGCGGACGCATTTCCCGATTCATGCTCATTTAGCCATTCCCAAACTTTCAAACTTGCAGTGTTGTCGAATTTCTTAGACACTTACTGGGACGTCAAACTTCGCACTGCAGACCTGCAAGCAACTGCAGCTGTTGTCGCCACGATACCTCCCTATCTCCGGGATCGTTACAGGAGGGCGAGGGCCTTGGGGCCAACTCCCTCTCTCACAATGAGACATGTGGGAGCGTCAAACGGCCTACAGATCTTATTGCGAAGTGGTAGTTTCCCAAAAGGGTCTAGGGTTGTAGGGGCAACCCCTCACAAACGTTCACTAAGCCTACGCATTGAAGCTAAACACACCTCTTACCCGTAAGCGCAACGCACGCCTTGCAGAATGAAGCCACTGAATGCTAACCCGTATGCAATAATCTTTGCCCCTCAGCCCTGAACCCTAAATCCTAAACCCTAAGCCCTGAATCCTAAATCCTTCAGCCCTGAACTCTTATCCCTGATGCACTTAGGCCGTGTCTGCGCGGCGCGCCTCAGAGGGCAGTGCCCAGAGTGCAGACAAAGGCAGGGTCGGAACCCCTACTGTTTAAGGTCTATGTTCGTGGGTTTAGGGTCTAGGGCGTGGGCTTTAAGAGTTTATGGTTCGGTTTCAAGGAGTGACAGCGATGGAGAATCCAATGGAAAATGCAGTTCGGAATGGGCTGATGGTTTCGAAGATGGGGACCTCCCGGAATATTATGGATGTAGGTCCCACACCGCAAAACCCTTAAGCCTAGCACCGTAAAATCCTACAACAGCCTGATATTGGCAATCATTTAGGTCCTAAACCCTAAAACCCTACTACCCTAAAACTCTAAATCCCTATACACTTACATAAACCCTTAAACTCTAAATCCCTAAAACCCTACCTAAATCCTAAACCCCCTAGACCCTAGTGTCAACCCTAAAACCCAAAAGAAGCGGTAAAACCCTAAACAAAACCTAGTCCATGGTCGGGGCTTTCCCATCCAGGTTGGTCCATTGATTTGGGGTTCAGGGTTTAGGGTTTCAGGCTTGTACTCCTAGGGTTGTACCCCTGGGAATCCTTCTTGAACCCTAGGGGACAATTTATGGGTTATCTTAAGACCGCACCGGGGAAACCTTGCAGGGGTACGGCCTTAGGGGTACAACCTGGAACCCTTGATTTATGGGATGGGGGAACATGGGTTCCAAACAATTGTTCAAGGAGGTCTACAGATTAGGATTTAGGGCTTAGGGTTTATGGGGTTGAGTTTGTGTTTTAGGGTTTACGGTGTAGGGAGAAGGGTAACCCCTGTAACTTAGGTCAGAAAACAACTTCTTATGTAGTCAGGTTAGCTTGTAAGAAGTCCCGTGAACCGCAAGTGTAGCTTGTGTCTGTCGCTAGCGTTGATTTGCCTTGTGGGTCTTGAGTCCAGGCTGGGGGTTGGGCGTCTAGGGTTTGGGGCTCAGGCTTTATGATTTGGATTGAGTTGAAGGGCTGAGGCTTATACATTTAAACCTCGCATATTCGGTCTGCCTTTGTACAAATTCGTAGCTTCTGAAACATGAGGTATTTCGCGAAGTACCACTTTGCAAGTTGCTGTTGTCGGCGTGCTTTGCAAAGGATCTTGCTTGCCAACAGCTAAGAAAAAATCTCGGTGGACAGCGATAGCAGAAGGATTTCAATACACGAGATGCGGTGCTTCAACAACGAACCTTCCAGCAGATTCCATAATTAAGAGCACAGGGCCCAAGTAATGCGCCTAGAGACTTGGAGTAGTGCTTCGGGGTGTGTGTGCTTTGAGCATATGAGGATTGCTAGGAAGTGATGGCAAGTATTCAGGTTGCTACATTTCTCAAGCAAGAGGGAAGCGAAGTCCTGAGAGTAGTGATGAGGGCTTTAGGGATTGTCTTTGACTGAGCATCCTATTTTGCGTAAGAAGGATTTTGGTAACCCCAACCCCCAAACTAGGACCCTATGACTATTATATATTGGCTATATATGGTCCTAATATTGGCTTGGGGTTACCAAAATCAAAATCCCCTTCTTAGCTTTGGCTTCTCCACACTCGGCCTTGGCTTGTGCGGCTGAGGCCTCAACAACTCACAAAGAACTCGCAGGGGTCTCCAACTCTTAGTCCCCCTTAAGTAGATAGAAGATGCTTTTGGGTATATTATAACGAGATCCCCATATAGTTCATATTATATCTACTTAAGTGGGACTATAGGGTTGAGGGGATTCTGAAGCAAGGATTCCATGCCTTGGCATCTACTCCCCTTTTGGCGACACGTTCCCTCCCCTGGGCTACAATGCTCGCTCCGTTGTCATGGGCTGTTGTATGGCAAGAAGGAATGAGGCCGCCCACCCACTAATAGCCTCCACAGGAGGTCATGGTAGGTTTCGGGTCCCTATAATGAGCTATAGTCTAAACTCCTTAAGGGGATTGTATAGGGGATTATATTTGGGACTGTTGGAGGGGTTATTAAGGGGGATACTGGGAGTGTAGACTATAGCTCATTTGCTGCTGCGAGACCACAAGCAGTGGGATGAGGATTGCAAATGTCGATAGAGATCATGTCTTTGCGAAGAGGAGGGGCAGGAAGTTGTTGCAGGCAGGGCGCGGTTGTATAGGGTTCGTGGTGGCTCATCAGGGCGACCGTGCACTTCTCAGAAATTTCCTCTCCTTGTACCCTGAACAGACTGTTGTCCATACACGTCCTTTCGATACAGCACACCCCAATGTTTTTTTGCAAGCATTGGGTTGGTATTGTCATTAGGGCACTTCGTAACAAAGGTTCGAGTGCCGGTTCTCTACTCATGTCACCTTCAGACAGGGTACATCAGAGTGCGCAATCCTGATTTGAAAAAAAACCAAACATGGCCTAAGAACCCTCGGGACTACCTCCGCCTAAGCCCTTCCAGATGGCTCCAATGAAGAAGGTCATCAAGAAGCCCGCAGGTAAGCTGGCCCAGCCAAGCAAGAAGTCCAAAGCTGGGACTACTACGCAGCCTTCAGCAGGGAAGCCACGGGTCTTTGGCATGGCTTTTGCCAGCATCTATCCCCTCTATGTGCAGAAGGTAGAGAAGAAGGGCAGGAAGCAAAAAGATGTAGACCAGGTCATCTGCTGGCTGACAGGCTACACGCCCCAGAAGCTGAAAGAACAGATCAAGCTGAAGAGTGACGTCGAAACTTTCTTCAAGAAAGCTCCACGGATCAACCCAAAGGCTGTAAAGATCACCGGCACTGTTTGTGGCGTCGTCGTCCAAGAGGTCAAAGACCCAGTCATGCGCAAGGTTCGATTCCTAGACGCTCCGCCATGGTTGAGCGAGATTTTCCATTTTTCTATAAATACTTGCCCAAAGGGTCCTAAGTACCCATATGGGGAATGCTTACCCAAACCATAAGGGAAATTACTACTACAGAAGCCATACTTTGTACCATATAGGTACTTTGGACCCTTTGGGTTGGGTTTCCCAAAATTGGGGTACTTTTTTGGCGTCCCTCTCATGAGGATTATAGTGTTGAGTGGTGTATATATATTGGGGTCCCCGTATTTAGGCAGACTACCACTTGAGGATAGTCTCAACCCTAAACCTTAAACCCTGAACCCCTAAACCATCCGAGCAATGACCCAGGACAAGCTTGTGGATGAGCTTTGCAAGGGCATTCCCATGGAGAAGGTCCTGCGAAGTTAACTGGTTGTCACTGCGGCCAACGTGAGCGCGCTGTGCAGACGGCTATCCTTTAAAGTGAGGGGTCCCTTCATGAGGTATATAGAGGTTTTAGAGGAATATATGAGGATATGAATATAAGTAAGTGTATATATATATAGAGGAATACATGAGGACAGATAGGGATAAATGGGGCTTCAATAGCTACGAACACCCCAACAGGAGGGTGCAGGGTGCAACATTGCTCGAATTCTCATCCTCAGGCTTGTCAAAGGTTTTAGGGTTTAGGGTTAGGTTGGGGTTATATGGGGATAATGGAAAAGAAAATGGAAACTACTATAATGGGTTTTATAGGGTTTAGAGTTTAGGGCTTCGTGTTGAGGATTTTGGGTGGGTGTCAAGGAATGGATCCTGCAAGAATAATGGCTACTCTTGGTACATCTTCCTGCATTCCCTACCTAGAACTGGAGAGCTTCAGAGGGCCTTCATAATCGGTTTCTCACCTGGCAGCAGGCTCAGCGAGATGAAAAAACGGCTTGCCGGATCCCCCTGCAAGTTGGGGAGGGTTACTCTAAAGTTTAGAGTTTAGAATTTAAAGTTTAGGGTTTAGGGATTAGGGTTTAGAGTTTAAAGTTTAGGGTTTAGGGCTTAGGGTTTAGGGTTTAGGGTGGGGGTTTCCCAATTTAGGGGTATCTTTTGGGGGGTCTCCATAATATGGAATACAATGCTTTTGGGTGTGTGTAGTGGGGTCCCCCTAGTTTGAGAAACTACGAAATCAGGAAGCTTTTGTATGAGCTTCTGCATGGGGGAGCATATAGCTTCAATTGGGAGGCATTTGGAGTCGAAACGAGCCAAAGTTTTCACGCGATTGTTACCAAAATGGCCATCCCGCTACGCATCCCGAAGCATCCTAGTCCAAACCCCAGTCCGCACCCCGAACAGGCAAGCAACAAACCCGCAATTTTGTCCCATATTCTGACTCATGTAGGTCAGCCCGAGCTATTTGGTAGTTTCCCAAAATTAGGGGTACCATTTTTAGGGGTCCGAATAATAAGGATTAATTAGAGTATTTTGGGATCTATATTGGGCTCCCCATATTTTGGGAAACGATTATTGATGGGAGTCAGGGCAACGTTATGTTTAGCAACTCGGAACGGAGAACAGACGTATAGTCCCCGTAAAGTAGATAGAATATGGCTTTGGGTAAATCATAGTAAGATCCCATATACACCACATTCTATCTACTTAAGGGGGACTATAAGTCGATCAGCCCAAACGGTGCCATGCTGCAGACTTTCTGCGGCCAATGGCTGGGATCTCAGCGCGCAAGGACGGAGCCTGGATCATGCCTTGTATCATGTCACATACAACAGAATCCGGTCAAAAAACAAGTGCAATGTAGAGGCCTAAATATTTGTCAATGCTCGGGTCCCGGAGTGGGTAGAAAGATGGTATAGGATACCTTCAATAGACCTGAACATAATCAATATTGGTAATCATTCAGGCGCCTAGTCTACTTCTTCATGTCCCATACTGGTGCTTCAGCAAGAGTGGGGGAGTGGATCCCAAGAATGATCCTTATATCCTATATAATCCCCATATATACTATAAAGGTACCTATATTCACACCCCAACCCCCCTAAACCTCCTTAAGCACCAGTAGATGTCAGTCCAACTTGAAACTCAGTGCCAGCTTGAGCTCTACATTTCAAACTTTACACGGATTCAGGGTAAGGGTGGATTAGGGTTCAGGGTTTAGGGCCGTTTAGGGCATACAGGGTGAATGCGGACATGTTTGAGCTTGGAAACTCGGAAAGGTTAGACATCCAAGAAAGTTGGGAAGTGGGGCTCATGGAATGTTGGATTCGTAAGGCGCAGGATATGATTTTGTGGGGAATCATCAGGAGTAGCTCGTGGCCAGCTTCGAACAAGATGCGACTTCCTTTTTGCACGCCAGCACTTCGTTTGGGGGAAGACTTGTGAAGTCTAAGCTGAGGGTTTAGGCCGTGTGGCGTGCTGAGGGCCCCGTGAGACATTACTGTCGGGGACTTTCGGTTGCATTGACCAAACCCTAAACCCTAAACCAAAAGGGCATATGACCTATAGTCTAAACTCCTAGTATCCTCCTTAATAACCCCTATAATAGGCCCCTATATAATCCCCTACATAATCCCCTTTTAAGGAGTTTAGATTATGGCTCATATGTACGGAGCTCTGGCGAAAGCTCTGACAGTTGATAAAACATTCAAGCTTGAGCACGCGCTGCAGTGGACATCTCTAATGCTTTGAGGCCAACCTTCCAAAACCGCACGCACGTATATCCCAAAATGAGCTATAGTCCAAACTCCTTAAAGGGGGTTACATATGGGATTATATAGGGGACCACTATAGGGGTTATTAAGGGGGACACCAGCATCTTAGACTATGCCTCACATGCGGGGATTCTCTTTTTAAGGGTCCTGTAGATCACAAAAAGCAGAAGCACTCCATTGCCAGAGTAGTAAGATAACCGACCGTTGGCCACACAGTAGCGCACGCAATCATCCTTGACATCCACTTTCAAATTCCACTGAACCCTACCACAGTCCCTGTTCCGTAAACCCAAAATCCTAAACCCTCAACTCTGAAAGCCTAGGTGGTATAGTCCCCCTTAAGTAGATAGAATATGGGGTATATGGGGATCCTATTATAATATACCCAAAGCCATATTCTATCTACTTAAGGTCTAGCCTAGGCGAGCCTAGTCTTCACTCCTTACAAGGGGGGCTATACGTATAGCTTTGAGGGCTTAGGGCTCATGATCTGCACTCCTTAAAGGGGGATCTGCAGGGGATTATATAGAGGAGTATTATTGGGCTTATGAAGGGGGATACTAGTAGTTTAGACTATGGCTCAGGTAGCTTTGCGAGGTTCCCCATGTGTGCCCGTACTCCACTTTTTTTCCCCTGGGCGTCGTCAAAGATTTTGATGCGTTATACCGAAAGGAGTGCACGTGTCTTTGTCTGGTTGCTGGTGATCCTGACTTCATGGGATTAGGGTTTAGGGTCTAGATTTCACAGGGATTTCCCAAGAGTGGACCACAAGTACACTTGGGATGTTTGCATGGGATATATTACCATGTAACACACTCCTCCTCCTGATAGTACCCACCCCCAACCCCCCCACAACAAGCCCCCATTATGGTCCTAATATATATATACACACACACACACTTGATTATCCCTAAACCCTTAGACCCTAAAGCCTACGTATATTCATGTGTCTAGTGTATCCCATCATCCTAACGAAGCCACTGGTCTTTGGCTAGATGGTAGTTGGGGGTAGTTGGGGACTCACAGGCGCGGAACTGCAGCGGGAACAAACCACGAAGCAGTGAAGCTCATGTGGGCCTTTCTCAACATGGCTTTCACAAAAGAAGTAGGCCTTCACATGAAATGAGGAAAAGTAAGGGTTTAGGGCTGTTGCGCCTATGATCCGGTCGCTGCCCCTAGAAGTCCTGAGGTCCCATATTGGGGACAAAGCTTGGGAATGGCTGGTATCCCTATGCCCGTTGAAGAAGCGTATGGCACAATGTTTTACGCTAGGTTGCACGCAGATAGGGACACGGTAGCGGGGAAGGGGCAGCTTTCAATCAAGTCGAATAAGCGGATCATGATCAATGGAGAAGCCAGAGGGATTGTCGGGCTAGTTGCAACATGGGATTATAGCCCTTGTAGAATCCCTGTATTGGAATAGATTCCCATATTCCCTACAAGAACCCGTACTGCAAGAGCCTCGCGAAAGTGGAAAAGCGGACCGCTTGCATGTGCCCGTGGCCAGAGTTCTGGATTCCTGCAACCCACTCCGTGATGATAGCCACCCTCATACTCTAGGGTTTTAGGGTTCAGGAATTAGGGTTTAGGGGTTAAGCTTTAGGGTTTCGGGGTTTAGGTCTTACCTCTGGTTACCTGGGAATGACTAAATGGAAAAAATGGAAAGTACCAAAATCGGTTATATGGGGACTACTATAAGGATCTTTTTCTTCATTCAAGCGAAGTCCGCGGAGGTGTGAGCCTCTCAAGGCCTGCGCGGGTCATCTTTGAGTGCGTTAGGCAAACCCAGAACCCTAAACCCTAAACCTTGGGTACTTGGGGTTTAGGGTTTAGGGGTTTAGGGTTTTAGGGTTTAGGGTTAAGGTTGGGCACTGCCCCCCCCCCCCCCCC